GTCTCCAAGAGAAAGTATGTCACCAGAGATGTGGTCTTCTTTGAGTCTCACCCCTATTTTCAATCTTCTCAGAATCCTCTTCAGGGGGAGACTAGTGGGATGGAAGAGGATTCTCATTCTCCCTCCTTTTTTGTTCTCCTATCTACCTCGGGTCTTCCATCCTCTCCTCCTACTCCTTGTTGTGGCATTCCAGGTTAACCCAGTGAGGCTCCCACTGTGCCGGTTACCTCTCCTGATGCTACAGATGTTCCTGAAGGCTCTAGTAGGCAACAGAAAGAGATACTTACATACAACAGAAGGAAAAGGGGCCCTCAATCTCATGACAGCAACCAGTTGGACTCGGATCAGTTTGTCTCCACAATCCAAGGTAATTCCAAATCACATACTTCTGATTTGGATATTCCTATTGCTCTCCGTAAGCCTATTCGCTCTTGCACCACCCGACACCCCATTGCTGATTTTGTTTCTTACTCACATTTATCTCCTGCCTATCACTCCTTTGTGTCTGCTCTTTCCTCTGTGCGTGTTCCTTCTAGGTACTCAGAGGCTGTGTCTGATCCAAGGTGGAAAGAAGCTATGAATGAAGAGATGAAAGCCCTAATGAAAGCAAGAACTTGCGAATTAGTGGATCTGCCAGAGGGGAAGAGCACTGTTGGGTGCAAGTGGGTGTTTACTATAAAGCATAGGGAGGCCGGGTTTATTGAAAGGTACAAGGCTAGACTTGTGGCAAAGGGGTTTACTAAAAAAAAATGGATTGACTACAAAGAAACCTTTGCCCCAATAGCAAAGCTCAACACAATTCGGGTTCTTTTGTCACTAGCAGCAAATTTTTCATGGGAACTTCATCAGCTGGATGTGAAGAATGCCTTCTTAAATGGTGACCTTCATGAAGAGGTATTTATGGAACCTCCACCAAGCTATGATTTTGGTAGAAAGGTGTGCAAACTGAGGAAAGCATTATATGGGTTGAAGCAATCTCCCCGTGCATGGTTTGAGAGGCTTTGTGGGGTACACTCAGAGTGGTGCAAACTATACCTTGTTCATAAGGAGACAGGATAGCAAACTTACTGCACTCATTGTTTATGTGGATGATATGGTAATTAYCGGGAATGACTTGGAAGAGATAAAAAGACTGAAGGAGTTTCTAGTTTCGGAATTTGAGATCAAAGACTTGGGTCATTTGAGATATTTTCTTGGGATTGAAGTTGTTAGGTCAAGATAGGGAATCTACATATGTCAGCGGAAGTATGTTCTTGACCTCCTTGAGGAAACAGGCATGATGGGGTGCATGCTAGCAGATACTCCAATAGAACAGAATCATGGCCTGCAGGAATCAGTAGGGGAGGACTACTRTGATARAGAGAGATACCAAAAATTGGTAGGGAAGCTGATATACTTATCCCTCACTCGGCCAGATATTGCTTATGCTGTGCATGTTGTCAGTCAATTTATGTACTCT